TCCCAGTATAAACCAGTAACCCCAAACCCATTCCCAGTACAAACCAGTAACCCCAAACCCATTCCCAGTACAAACCAGTACAAACCAGTCACCTGCTGGTCGGCCTGCTGGAAGTCCAGCGCAGGCTCCGCCCCCTGCTGATGACGTAAGCGGAAGGGGCGGAGCTTGAGCCTCTGCAGCTCCTGCAGCGCCTCCCATTGGTCGCCCTGACGCCGTCGCAGCTCCGCCGCCGCCGCCGCGCGCTCGGGGAAACCGAGGCACGCCAGGAGCCGCAGCTGCGCCGGGGCGGGGGGGAAACCAGTATGGACCAGTATGAACCAGTATGGACCAGTATGGACCAGTATAAACCACTATGGACCAGTATAAACCAGTATAAACCAGTACGGACCAGTATGGACCAGTATAGACCAGTATAAACCAGTATGAACCAGTATGGACCAGTATGGACCAGTATAAAACAGTATGGACCAGTACAGACCAGTATAAACCAGTATGGACCAGTATAGACCAGTATAGACCAGTATGGACCAGTATGGACCAGTACAGACCAGTATGGACCAGTATGGACCAGTATAAACCAGTATGGACCAGTATAAACCAGTATAAACTAGTATGGACCACTATGGACCAGTATGGACCAGTATGAACCAGTATAAACCAGTATGGACCAGTATGGACCAGTATGGACCAGTATAAACCAGTATGGACCAGTATAAACCAGTATAAACCAGTATGGACCACTATGGACCAGTATGGACCAGTATAAACCAGTATGAACCAGTATGAACCAGTATAAACCAGTATGGGCCAGTATGGACCAGCATGGACCAGTATAGGCCTGTATAAACCAGTATGAACCAGTTTGAACCAGTATGAACCAGTATGGGCCAGTATGGACCAGTATGAACCAGTGTAAACCAGTATGAACCAGTAAAAATCACCAAAATTCTCATTTTTGGACCAAAATCGGTCGACTTTGCACCAGTTAGGACCAGTAAAAACCAGTACAAACCAGTACAGACTGGTTTGAACAGGTTTGGGTTGGTTTAAACCAGTATAAACCAGTATAAACCAGTAAAATTCACCAAAATCCACCATTTTGGACCCGAATTCCATCTTTTTTTACCAAATTCTGTAATTATAAACCCAAAATCTTCCATTTTTCCCCCAAATCCCCCATTTTCACCCAAATCTTCCATTTTTTACCCCAAATCCCCCTTTTTTCCCCCAAATCCGCCATTTTTAACCCAAATTCCAACATTTTAAACTCAATTTCGCCATTTTTAACCATATCCCCCATTTTAACCCAAATTCCGCCATTTTGAACTCAATTTCGCCCTTTTTACCCAAAATCCTCAATTTTTAACTTAAAATCCCCCATTTTTTCCCCCAAATCTTCCATTTTTCCCCCAAATCCCCCATTTTTAACCCAAATTCCAACATTTTAAACTCAATTTCGCCATTTTTACCCAAAACCCCATTTTTAACCAATTTCTGCCGTTTTAACCCAAATTTCATCATTTTTTCCCAAAATTCTGCCATTTTAACCCAAATTTCACCTTTTTTTACCCAAATCACCCATTTTTACCCAATTTCCGCCATTTTTTACCCAAATCCCCCATTTTTCCTCAAATTCCGCCATTTTGAACTCAATTTCGCCCTTTTTACCCAAAATCCCCCGTTTTTACCCAAAATCCCCCGTTTTTACCACAAATCCCCCATTTTAACCCAAATTCCGCCATTTTAACCCGAATTCCGCCATTTTGAACTCAATTTCGCCCTTTTTACCCAAACTCCCCCGTTTTTACCCCAAATCCCCCATTTTAACCCAAATTCCGCCATTTTAAAACAAAATTCTGCCATTTTAACCCAAATTCCTCAATTTTTGACTTAAAATCCCCCATTTTTCCCCCAAATCCCCCATTTTTAACCCAAATTCCGCCATTTTAAACTCAATTTCGCCATTTTTACCCAAAACCCCATTTTTAACCAATTTCCGCCATTTTAACCAAAATTTCATCATTTTTTTCCCAAAATTCTGCCATTTTTACCCAAAATCCCCCGTTTTTACCACAAATCCCCCATTTTTAACCCAACTTCCGCCATTTTAACCCAAATTCCCCCATTTTAACCCAAATTCCGCCATTTTTACCTAAATCCCCCATTTTTAACCCCAAATGCCCCCATTTTTAACCCAAATTCCAACATTTTAACCCAAATTCCAACATTTTTACCCAAATCCTCCATTTTTTACCCAAATCCCCCATTTTTCCCCAAATGCCCCCATTTTTAACCCAAATCCCCCATTTTTCCCCAAATCCCCCCATTTTTAACCCAAATCCCCCATTTTTAACCCAACTTCCGCCATTTTAACCCAAATTCCGCCATTTTGAACTCAATTTCGCCATTTTTACCCAAAATCCCCCATTTTTCCCCCAAATCCCCCATTTTAACCCAAATCCCCCTTTTTTCCCCCAAATCCTCCATTTTTACCCAAATTCCACCATTTTAAACTCAATTTCGCCGTTTTTATCCAAATCCCCCATTTTAACCCAAATTCCGCCATTTTGAACTCAATTTTGCCATTTTTACCCAAATCCCCCATTTTTCCCCCAAATCCCCCATTTTTTCCCCAAATCCCCAGTTTTTAACCCAAATCCTCCATTTCCCCCCCAAATCCTCCATTTTTAACCCAAATCCCCCCATTTTCCCCCAAAATCCCCCATTTTTACCCAAAATCCCCCCATTTTTTCCCCCAAATCCCCCATTTTTCCTCAAATTCCACCATTTTAAACTCAATTTCGCCATTTTTACCCAAATCCCCCATTTTAAACCCAAATCCTCCATTTTTCCCCCAAAATTCTCCATTTTTCCCCAAAATCCCCCATTTTTACCCAATTTCCGCCATTTTTAACCCAAATTCTGCCATTTTAACCCAAATTTCATCATTTTTTCCCAAAATTCTGCCATTTTAACCCAAATTTCACCATTTTTTACCCAAATCCCCCATTTTTACCCAAAATCCCCCATTTTCCCCCCAAATCCCCCGTTTTTCCCCCAAAATCCCCCCATTTTTCCCAAAATCCCCCGTTTTCCCCCCAAAATCCCCCTTTCCCCCAAGCCCCGCCCCCTCTCACCTGCTGCTCCCTCCGGCCAATCAGGACGCGCCGCGCTCGCTCCGCCTGCCCCGCCCCCTCCAGCCACGCCCACGCGGCCTCAGCCAATGAGAACGGCCCTGGCCAGGCCCCGCCCCCCGGGGGCTCCGGCCCCGCCCCCCGCAGCGCCGCGAGGACCCCGCCGAGGCGTCCGCGGAAGTGCCGGATCTGGGCGGCGGCGTCGGAAACTTCCGGAAGGTGGGAAAAGGGGGCGGGGCCGAGCGATTCCGGGGGGAGGCCCTGGCGCTCGGCGGCCTGGGAAATTTGGGGAAAAAAAAAAAAAATAAATAAATTCCCGAGTTTTTCCACCGGAAAATTAACAAAATTTCGCCCCAAAAATAAAAAAATTCTCCCGGAAAAAAATCCCCAAAAATTTTCAAAATTTTCGATTTTTTTTCCGTTTTTCGCCCCAACGTTCCTGATTTTCGCCACCGAAAATCCCAATTTTCCCCCCCAAAATTTTCCACGAAAAATTCTGAATTTTTTCCGGTTTTTGCCCAAAAAATTCCTAATTTTTCCTCGAAAAATTCCCACTTTTCACCCCAACACTCCCAATTTTCACCAACAAAATTCCCAATTTTTTCCTCACAAAATTCCCAATTTTCACCCCGAAAATTCTCGATTTTCACCCTAAAATTCCCAAATTTTCATCACGAAATTCCCAATTTTTTCCTCCAAAATTCCCGTTTTGCCCCAAAAAATTTCCAATTTTTTTTCCCCCCAAAATTCCCAACTTTCCCCCCAAAATTCCCACGTTTCACCCCCAAAATTCCCGATTTTCATCCCCGAAATTCCCAATATTTCCTCACAAAATTCCCAATTTTCACACCCAAAAATTCCCAGGTTTTCTTCCCCCAAAATACCTAACCTTTTCCCCCAAAATTCCCATTTTTTACCCCAAAATTCCTATTTTCTATCTCAAAATCCCTTTTTTTTCCCCCAAAACCCTGAATTTTTTCTTTATAAAATATCATTTTTTTGCCCAATATCCCATTCTTCCCAAAATCCACATTTTTCACCCCAAAATCCCCATTGTCTTTCCCAAAAAAACCCTTAAAATTTCTGCTAAAAATCCCCAAAAAAATCCCAAAAAATTTATTCTAAAAATCTCCCAAATTCCTAAAAATTCTCACAAAATATTCAACAAAAAGTCCTAAAAAATCCCCTAAAATCCCCAAATTTTCCCCAAAAATCGCCAAAATTCCACCAAAATTCCACAAATTTACCCCAAAATTGCCAAAATTCCACCAAAATTCACAAATTTTCCAGAAAAGTCCCAAAATTCCCAAATTGTCCCCAAAAATTGCTAAAATTTCCCCAAAAATCCTCCCAAAATTCCCATATTTTACCCCAAAAAATCCCAACATTGGTCCAAAATTCCCCAGAATTCCGCCAAAATTCCCAAATTTTCCCTAAATTTCCCAAATTTTCCCCAAAAAATCCCCGAAGTCAAAAAAATCCCCCAAAATTCCCTCAATTTCCCCAAAAATCCCTAATTTTCAAAAAAATTCCCAAACCTCCCACAAAAATTCCGAAAATTCCCCCAAAATTCCCAAATTTTCCACAAATTTCCCCAAATTTTACTCTAAAATTCCCCCAAAATTTTTCCAAAAAATCCGCAAAATTCCAAAATTTCCAAAAATTCCGGAAAAATTCCCCCAAATTTCCCCCAAAAATTCTCCCAAAATTCTGAAATTTTCCCCAAAAACTCGCAAAAATTCACAATTTTTCCCCAAAAATTCCCAAAAATTCCCGATTTTTTCCCAAAAAATCCCCAAAATTCCCAATTTTTCCCCCAAAACCTCCCAAAAATTCCCAATTTTTCCCCAAAAACCCCCAAAAATTCCCGATTTTTCTCCAAAAATCCCCAAAAATTCCCAATTATTCCCCAAAAATTCCCAATTTTTCCCAAAAAATCCCCAAAATTCCCAATTTTCCCCCAAAAACTCCCAAAAATTCCCGATTTTTCCCCAAAAATTCCCGATTTTTTCCCAAAAACTCCCAAAAATTCCCAATTTTTCACCCAAAAACTCCCAAAAATTCCCAATTTTTCCCCAAAAACTCCCCAAAATTCCCAAAAATCCCCCAAAATTCCCGATTTTTCCCCAAAAATCCCCGAAATTCCGGAATTTTCCCCCGAAATTCCGGAATTTCCGCCCACCCGGACGAGCTCCACCAGGCGCCGCCCGTCCTCCAGCAGCTTCTGCCGCCGCAAAGCATCACGGGAGGGGGCGTGGTCACACCCGGAAGTGACGTCAGCGCCCGCCACACTCAAAACCTCCAAACCGGAAGCGGCCTCCTCCAAACCGGAAGTGGCACCCTTCAAACCGGAAGTGGGCTTTTCCTCGCCGGAAGTGCAATTCTCCAGGCCCGAGGTGGCCTCCTCCAAGCCGGAAGTGGCATTCGCCAAACCGGAAGTGGAATGTTTCGAACCGGAAGTGGACTCCTCCAAACCGGAAGTGGGCGGGAAGCTCCCCCGGGAGGGCGTGGCCGGCCCGGAAGTGACGTCACCGCAGATTTGGCAGGAAGGGGCGGGGCCTGGGTTGAGGAAGGTGCAGCGGGGGCAGGGCCAGGGCGGGGAGGGGGCGGGGCTGGGCTGGGGGGGACAAAACGGCGGCAAAGATCCCCGAATTATCCATCCCGAAATTCCCACGATTTTTATCCCAAAACTCCCCAATTTCTTATCCCGAAATTCCCACGTTTTCCCCGAAAATTCTGCATTTTTCTGCAAAAAAATTCCCCCGAAATTCCCAATTTTCACCCTAAAATTCCCAAATTTTCGTCATGAAATTCCCAATTTTTCCCTCCAAAATTCCCTTTTTCCCCAAAAAATTTACAATTTTTTTTTTCCCCCAAAATTCCCAATTTTCACCCCCAAAATTCCCAATTTTCACCCTAAAATTCCCAAATTTTCATCACGAAATTCCCAATTTTTTCCTCCAAAATTCCCTTTTTCCCCAAAAAATTTCCAATTTTTTTTTCCCCCAAAATTCCCAATTTTCACCCCCAAAATTCCAAATTTTTCACCCCCAAAATTCCCAATATTTCCTCACAAAATTCCCAATTTTCACCCCCAAAATTCCCAATTTTCACCCTAAAATTCCCAAATTTTCGTCATGAAATTCCCAATTTTTACCTCCAAAATTCCCTTTTTCCCCAAAAAATTTCCCATTTTTTTTTCCCCCAAAATTCCCAATTTTNAAATTTTCGTCATGAAATTCCCAATTTTTACCTCCAAAATTCCCTTTTTCCCCAAAAAATTTCCCATTTTTTTTTCCCCCAAAATTCCCAATTTTTTCCCCCCAAAATTCCCAATTTTTCACCCCCGAAATTCCCAATTTTTGCTCACAAAATTCCCAAGTTTCACCCCCAAAATTCCCAATTTTCACCCTAAAATTCCCAAAGTTTCATCACAAAATTCCCAATTTTTCCCTCCAAAATTCCCTTTTCCCCAAAAAAATTTACAATTTTTTTTTTCCCCCAAAATTCCCAATTTTCATCCCCAAAATTCCCAATTTTTCATCACAAAATTCCCAATTTTCACCCCCAACATTCTCCATTTTCACCCTAAATTTCCCAAATTTTCATCATGAAATTCCCAATTTTTCCCTCCAAAATTCCCTTTTTCCCCAAAAAATTTCCAATTTTTTTTCCCCCCAAAATTCCTGATTTTTCGTCACAAAATTCCCAAGTTTCACCCCCAAAATTCCCAATTTTTCACCCCCGAAATTCCCAATTTTTGCTCACAAAATTCCCAATTTTCATCCCCAATATTCCCAATTTTCACCCTAAAATTCCCAAATTTTCACCACGAAATTCCCAATTTTTCCCTCCAAAATTCCCTTTTTCCCCAAAAAAATTTCCAATTTTTTCCCCCCAAAATTCCTGATTTTTCGTCACAAAATTCCCAAGTTTCACCCCCAAAATTCCCAATTTTTCACCCCCAAAATTCCCAATTTTTGCTCACAAAATTCCCAAGTTTCACCCCCAAAATTCCCAATTTTTCGTCAGAAAATTCCCAAGTTTCACCCCAAAATCCCCATTTTTTACCCCAAAATTCCTATATGCCATCTCAAAATCCCTTTTTCCCCAAAAAGTTTTAATTTTTTCCTTATTAAATACCATTTTTTTACCCAAAATCTCATTTTTCCCAAAATCCCCTTGTCTTTCCCAAAAAACCCCTTAAAATTTCTCCTAAAAATCCCCAAAATTTCATTTTTTTCCCCCTAAAAAATTCAAACTTTCCTTTAAAAAATCCCCATTTTTTCCCCAAACCCCCATTTTTTCACCCAAAAATCCCAATTTTTTCACCCCAAAATGTAATTTTTCCCAAAATTGGAGTTTTTCGCCCCAAATTCCGGTACCAGGTGGGGGCGTGGCAGAGCACGGCCGCGGGAGGGGTTTTTATTCAAAATCCCCATTTTTTCCCCCAAAATTCCTATTTTTTCCCCAAAATCCCCACTTTTATTTAAAAAACCATTTTTTCCCAAATCCCCACTTTTTTAACCCAAAAATCTCCACTTTTCCCCCATCTTAAAACCCCCATTTTTTAACCCACAAATCCCATTTTTTCCCCTAAAAAATTCGATTTTTCCTTTAAAAAATCCCCGTTTTTTTCCCCCAAACCCCCATTTTTTCCCCCCAAAATCCCAAATTTTTCCCCAAAATTTAATTTTTTTCCCAAAATTGGGTTTTTTCGCCCCAAACTCGGGTACCTGTGGGCTGGGCGCCAGGCGGGGGCGCTCGCAGGCGCGGCAGAGCACGGCCGGGGCCGGGTTCCTCAGGGTGCAGCTNAAATTTTCGTCATGAAATTCCCAATTTTTACCTCCAAAATTCCCTTTTTCCCCAAAAAATTTCCCATTTTTTTTTCCCCCAAAATTCCCAATTTTCTACCCCCAAAATTCCCAATATTTCCTCACAAAATTCCCAATTTTTACCCCCAAAATTCCCAATTTTCACCCTAAAATTCCCAAATTTTCATAACGAAATTCCCAATTTTTCCCTCCAAAATTCCCTTTTTCCCCAAAAAATTTCCAATTCTTTTTCCCCCCAAAATTCCAAAATTTTCATCCCCAAAATTCCCAATTTTTCGTCACAAAATTCCCAATTTTCGCCCCCAAAATTCCCAATATTTCCTCACAAAATTCCCAATTTTCACCACCGAAATTCCCAATTTTTGCTCACAAAATTCCCAATTTTCACCCCCAAAATTCCCAATTTTCACCCTAAAATTCCCAAAGTTTCATCACGAAATTCTCAATTTTTCCCTCCAAAATTCCCTTTTTCCCCAAAAAATTTCCAATTTTTTTTTTCCCCCAAAATTCCCAAATTTTCACCCCCAAAATTCTGAATTTTCACCCTAAAATTCCCAAAATTTCATCACGAAATTCCCAATTTTTCCCTCCAAAATTCCCTTTTTCCCCCAAAAAATTTCCAATTTTTTTTTCTCCCCCAAAATTCCCAAATTTTCATCCCCAAAATTCCCAATTTTTTACCCCCAAAATTCCCAATATTTCCTCACAAAATTCCCAATTTTCACCCTAAAATTCCCAAAATTTCATCACGAAATTCCCAATTTTTACCTCCAAAATTCCCTTTTTCCCCAAAAAATTTTCAATTTTTTTTTTCCCCCCAAAATTCCCAAGTTTCACCCCCAAAATTCCCAATTTTTTACCCCCAAAATTCCCAAGTTTCACCCCCAAAATTCCCAATTTTTTACCCCCAAAATTCCCAATATTTCCTCACAAAATTCCCAATTTTCACCACTGAAATTCCCAAATTTTCGTCACGAAATTCCCAATTTTTACCTCCAAAATTCCCTTTTCCCCAAAAAAATTTCTAATTTTTTTCCCCCCAAAATTCCCAATTTTTCGTCACAAAATTCCCAAGTTTCACCCCCAAAATTCCCAATTTTTCATCACAAAATTCCCAATTTTTCATCACAAAATTCCCAATTTTCACCCCCAAAATTCCCAATATTTCGTCACAAAATTCCTAATTTTTCATCACAAAATTCCCAATTTTCACCCCCAAAATTCCCAATATTTCGTCACAAAATTCCTAATTTTCACCCCCAAAAATTCCCAGGATTTTTTCCACAAAATTCCCAATCTTTACCCCCAAAATTCCCAATTTTCACCCCAAAATCCTCATTTTTTACCCCAAAATCCCCATTGACTTTCCCAAAAAAAAAACCTTAAAATTTCTCCTAAAAATCCCCAAAATTTCATTTTTTCCCCCCTAAAAAATTCAATTTTTAATTTAAAAACTCCCCATTTTTTCCCAAACCCCCATTTTTTCACCCAAAAATCCCAATTTTTTACCCCAAAATGTAATTTTTCCCAAAATTGGAGTTTTTCGCCCCAAATTCCGGTACCAGGTGGGGGCGTGGCAGAGCACAACCGGGGGAGGGATTTTTATTCAAAATCCCCATTTTTTCCCCCAAAATTCACATTTTTTCCCCCCAAATCCCCACTTTCATTTAAAAAACCATTTTTTCCCAAATCCCCACTTTTTTAACCCAAAAATCTCCACTTTTCCCCCATATTAAAACCCCCATTTTTTAAACCACAAATCCCATTTTTTCCCTTAAAAAATTCAATTTTTCCTTTAAAAAATCCCCGTTTTTTCCCCAAAACCCCCATTTTTTCACCCCAAAATCCCATTTTTTTTCCCCAAAATTTAATTTTTTTCCCAAAATTGGGTTTTTTTGCCCCAAACTCGGGTACCTGTGGGCTGGGCGCCAGGCGGGGGCGCTCGCAGGCGCGGCAGAGCACGGCCGGGGCCGGGTTCCTCAGGGTGCAGCT